AAAAAGAACCTTCGGGTTTACGCACCCTCATTACAAGAAATTCGAAAAAACGAGAGAGAGAAAAAAAAATAAAGACAGAAACAAAACGCTGGATGCGTGCGCTTACGTGGATCGTCACGTGTATCGTATGTTCCGTGTGGATTGGTGTGTACGGATGCGTGTTGTACGCGTCGACAGGAATGTGCTAAGAAACGGCCGGCAAGTAATAAAATGTAATTAGCGACCTGGCGTGAACGGTGGGTGCTCGACGTTGGCAATTCGCGAAAAGGATACACGCGTGTTTGTGTATATATATGTATGTATGTATAAATCGAAATATATAATATATATATATATATATTAGCTCGGAAAATCGAGTAACTCTCTGTGCGAGCTGTTCAGGTACGCTTAGACGATATTCGTGCCGGAAGTAAGGATTGTACGAAAGCTCTCCCGCACAGTTTCTCCCTCTTTTTTTTTCCTCCCTCCTTGTGGCACTCTCACGCTATGTTCCGCGATATGCGATAAGAATCGAGGAGATACGAACGTGTAAACGTCAGCGCGCGGGCTGCTATAAGATACTTTAAAGGTATCGCACGAAAAAGACGATCCGAATGAGACAGACAAAGTAGGTAGTGTAAGAGAAGCGCTTCTTGAATTTCTAGATCAATACACAGAGAATTAAGCGAGCCACCTAAAACAATAAGGGGACTACTATAGTCGATAAAATAAAAACTGGATCGCGCGCTGGAATCTGTATGTACATTCGTGGGCGATTGCGGAGGTGTATTTTTGTGTATTGCTTAATATGTATTGCATGTGTATATGCGCGTGTAAGTGTCGTGAATATCTCTCGTGTTGACAGACGTTGCAGTCCAGGTGCACGGAACGTGTGTCCGGTTAAGAATGTATAAATGCAGTCCAAGTAAATAACGTAGTATCAGAGGTCCGAAAGACACAGATCATAGATGCAAAGACTGGCCCCTTCGCTCATGCCGGCTACTCGCTACGTCTCTAAACAACTAGCTGATTGGTCGGTACTCGATCAAGGCGAGACCGCCGATCGAAGGGGGTCCCGGCGGAAACGTTTACGATCATACGAGGAGAACCCCCGGGGATCGGCGTCCACGCGATCGAACAGGGATATCCCATTCGCACTGCTCACCAAGAGATCCCGTTCTAGAGTTTTATCGGCTAGCCTACTTTGGCACAAACAGCACATCATGCCCGAGCCGGCATTCGCTTTATTTTATTTTTTTTTTCACAGTTTCGTCATTCCCCCTGCCTTGTAGGTCGCTGCGCGGTTCTCGGCTTGGAGAAACTCCTCTTCCTACCCTTTTATATAATTCAATATCCGTCAAAGTCGCGCGACAATACATTCAACGTGAATACAACTCTTTCGCTCCGTTTCTCTCTTTCTCTCGCACTCACGCAATTACTCTCTCTCTTTCTCTCCCTCCCTCTCGCTCGTTCAGTTACGCCTTTGCATAACAGTCTCCTTCCAACACTAATCCTTTTCCTACTTCTCTCTACGATCAGTTATGTTATATCAGTAAAATTTAATTGACTCCAACAGAACGTCGATTAGACAGAAACCCGTGGGCTTTGCCGGCGCGCGCGCGGCACGTTACGTTTAAGGACTTCAGGATTCTCATTCATAATAGAAATAAGATCAATTGTTCTCAACTTCGCGACGTCCGATCTAAATTCCGTTTCGCGCTTCTCGACGAGGACACCTCAGACATCTCGACGCGACCACCCCAATCGATCTTGCACAATTCTACTAAATCCCCGTAAATACGATTCTAGCGTATTACTTTGCTTTTCTCTTCAACGCTTTGTCTCAACGTTACAAATGAATCGTTTCGAACGATGATTCGCCTCCTCGAATACCAATCTATATATGTGCGATGCTTCCTCGAGATATTCGCTTGTATTTACGGGGAATCCTCACAATCGCCGACTACTGAAGGAATGCTTTGATATCAGGAACTCTCTCGATGGGGTGGATCAAAGCTCGTCAAACGATGGATCTATTGTTGGCACAGAGACATGATAGTACCTCTCTCTTCTTCGAATACTGTCCATCGATGCGAACCATCCTCGAGGTATCCTGAGTGCACTCGTTGATTCGCTACGATCGGTACCAACTTTCCGCGCGCGCCCCGTACGTTGCAAACTTTTTAATTAGCGATATGTTCAACGGTTCACTCCTTCCTCTCCTAGTCAATTACTTATCTAGTCGCTTACTATACGATTAAGATCCTAACACATGCCTAAGCATCTATTCTAACTAAGAAATCTGCGCGCATTCAGTTGTATCTATGCGTCTGTATGTATTTGTGTGTATGTGTACGTGTGTGTGTGTGTGTGTGTGTGTGTATAAATCAGAGGGCGGTCGAAATATTTATTTTCGCGCGCGGCGCGTGCATGAATGTGTGTGTTTTGTCCGTGTACGTATAACTGCATAATTGTACGGTCTCATAAAGACGCGGATACGTGTGCGGGTGCGTTATAATACTTATTTCCAAACTGAAACGTACAAATTATAAAAATGCCATCTGTGACGACCGTATAACGACGCGCGCAAACGCGTCGCGTGGGTCTGCGGAGCGGAGAACTCGCCTCGGTCATTGAACGTTCAGGCACCGCTCGATCTTCCCCTAAGAAGCGTTCGACTTCGCCGGATAGTCGAGAATACTGCAGGTACCTTCGGGAGAAATACGCCCCGCGAAGAAACATAAAACATAGGTCGAGCGGGCCAGATACGTTCGGAGTAGCATACTCCAATTAGAATTGCTCTCAGCACGCAACGAACGACTTTGATAATTGCTTCGCTTCCGCCTTACGAACGGATCAACCAATCGCGATAAGTAACGGATATGGGAAGAATTTTGAAGGCCGATTCGGCGCTCCGCCACTTTCAACTCTCCTCTCCAATTTTGGCCGCTGCCAATCTTGCGATGTAAAATCAACGAGGGCGATCGGTTCGTCGGCGAAGTAGTAGTAGTACTTCGTGAAAGCATGCAAAAGGTCCCGTGACATTGGCCATTTTCTTATTTAGATACCCGGTCAATTAAAACACGTCGTTCCCGTCGTACTCGATCGGTCAGCCTCGTCGATCGTATGTCTCGCCCTCGAAACGGAACGGAAGCCACGAAGAAGTACGCTCGGTCGCATGTGTGTTTGGTCGTCAGAAGAATGAAGATTGTCTCGTGGTAAACGCTGCTGATTCACGATAGTCGGCCGTCGCGTCACGCGTGAACGTACGACGATCGTCTTGAGATACCTCGCGGTCCATTTGTTTCCACTTGGCATTTCTTCTCGAGTCCGCTCATCGAACGAGCACGTTGACGACGGAGACCTACTTCCGAACTGTGATATACGGACGCCGTCGCGCGCGCTTATCGCGAGATGGTCGCCCTTGTGTCCACGTAACTTTGAAAAATTCTTAACCGTAATCACTGTAGCGGTTTGGGCCGCGCGATCATGAATTTTACATGTATAATAATATATCTTATCTTCCCTAAGCATTAACTCTGTACAAGAGTCGAGGACTGTTCGCCACTGTGCTGTTTCCTCGCTCCCGTCTAATCCTAATCTCTCTTCCCTCTTTTACACATGCTTTCTCTATGTATGCCCGGCTGCTAAGCTCTTTGTTTTATTTTGCATATCTCTCTCTCTTTCTCACTTTCTCTCTTTATGTTTCTCTCTTCCTGCGACGGTCCTGGCTTTCATAAGAATAATCACGTTATTCTCTTTCTCTCTCTCTCTCTCTCTCTCTCTCTCCTCCTTTCCTTTTCCGCGATCCTTGTCTGTTTCTAAATTCCTCACATATTTCTAAAATTATGAAACTGTCGCGTTAATACGCTCGAAAGCCAGCACCGGAAACTACCTTCGAGAAGGCCGTCGCGAATTTGCCTCTTCATCGTTTAATTTGAGCGCTTGCAGCCCTGGTACATCTCAAAACACCCTAGTAACACCCCTCAAATCGTCAAAATCAACCGGATGCGAAAATAAGTGCGTGCCATATAGACGTCCCAACAACAAGGGCAAGGCCTCGAGAACATCCTAAGCTCGCTCGGACGAGGTAGCTCCTGTCCGCTTGTGCTGCTTCAAAGTCCGAGTACGACGCAGTCCTGCATTGGTTGCTGTAGCCAGCAACAGCGTAGCGACTCTCGCAGGAACGGACGAGCACCTGAGTGGATCCAACTACGTGACCATCAGTCGTAGACCGAAGCGGGTGACCAAAGGGGAACTAGGGCGTATGGCTGGTACCATTGCTGCTCGTGCGGTGGCGATTCTTGTTAGATGTTGCTCTTGGAGAACGACACTCTGAGATGGTTGGACTCGCTAAGCTGATAGTTGTGCATTTTCTGTGAAAGAGGAAGAACGAATCGATTTTATAGTCGAACAACTAAACTTTACATTTCACGGATTTGACTTTAAATTAGATTTCAAGTAAAGTTAAAATATTTTCGTTCTACTTTCTTTTTCTTTAAAAATACTTGCGATATATACGGAGGCATGCTGTGAGGAGAATGTACCGATATGTATATTTTTTATAAACTCGATGCCCTGAGAAATTTTATTTTTAGTTACAGAACATCAGGATTATTGTTTCTCGTAAAAGTAATGAATTAATTACAAAAGCTACTTATAATCAGTGGTGTGCTGAATAGCTTAATATTTGTTTGTTGAGCAAAAAATCCGATTTTGATTCTCGAAACAACTCTATAAATATAACACTAGAAATTTAAAGAAGAAAAATATTCTATTCTGTAAAAATAAAATACCGAAAACATGAATTTAATCCTAAAGAGACAGACAAATTACGGTATGTATGTTAAAGGGAGGATAGAAAAATTTTTAAATAATAATAATAAAATTGTATAAATGAATTTTAAAAACAGAGCTCCTCCAAAATGAAAGTTAGGCAAGAAACTTATAATCTTTTTTCATAAAAATTACAGCTATAATGAAATTAAGGAGCAAATCAAGATCTGCATAAGCTTTTCGTCTGATCACAGTTCGACTTGGGCTATTAATGACAACAATGATGACTTACAATCAACGCAGCCACGGCATCATCCATGTTAGGCATTTGTATGAGAGCCATCTTCCTGTCCTTCGGGAAGAACTTAAAAGCTTTCACGGTGAAGCCGTTCTTGGTGAAAGCATCCTTGATTTCTTCCTCCGCTACCGTAGCCCTGAAAGAGCAAATTGAATGTCGTTAAACCACCAAGAGAAGCAGCGCGAAATATGTATTGTTGTTGGATTACTCACGGAATGTTTGATAAATGCAGGGTCGAGCTCGGCGGATAGATGTTCTGATAATTTTTCGAGCCAGGTTTCTTGAATCGATGAAGAGTACTGTTGGTGTAATCTTTCGTGAGGCCCGCGTCTGGCTGACCTTCTTTTGGCAATTGAACCGTTTGGTGTTTGCTGAGCATTACTTTGATTTGCTTTCCAAACACTCTTAACTTGTCCATATGGGTTAGCGCTGTCATATAGATTAAACAATGTTAAATAACTATTAATATGTGTTCGGATCTTAACATAATTACAGTATATAGCTGTGGAATAAGAAACCGTGTCTTCTGATTTCCCACAATAAAAAAGTGGGCCGTATATATATATATAATTTTTTTTTATGAAAAGATTCTAAATTACAGCTATAAAAACTGTATCTAAATTTTAAAACGTCTTGTTTCAAGTACAAAATGCTTTGTGAATCTCTCTTTTAATATAATATGCCTACGGCACACGATATATCTTTTCTTACCAAATTGCTTGCATGTCAGTAAATTAGAAATTTTGTGTATGGTGCAACTCTAATAATTTATCAAAATGAAAACAATCCAGCAGGAAAAAATGCATCATGTGCCATAGGTTTTACGGTTATTGATAAATGAAATTTCTCTTCTCTCTCTCCTCTTTCAAAGATGTTTTTACCAACAATTTAGAGTTTCATAGTACTAATTGTATAGATTGTACACTGAAAAGAGTTTAGTTGCATTTTAAATTGGAATTTTGGTTAAAAATGGACAAATCAGAATTTTCTGGTTGAATCCATTATAATTCTAGTTGAGATAGTTAGAATTCTGATTGATATATGATATGATTGATAGAATCTTCCTTATTTTCAACCAGAAATTTTTTTCAATGTACAATGTAACTGCCGTAGTCGAGGGTTAAACAAATGGATTATTTACAAAATGCAATTTCGAGTTATCGTTGCACATAGCTAAAAAAATGTCCACTCACCTAAAAGCGCCTGATGAGGTTCGGCCATCTGTATTAGTGCCGAGTCTTTCTTGTTGTAGAGGATCTTCACACGCTGTACATCCCCGTAAACGCCTATATGCACAATACGCAAATTTCTCTTTAGTAAACTCTGGTGGTGGCGACAAACCGCGTATTCTTTTTAGAGAGGCTGCTTTGAGGGTTATCGAAGATGAATGGGACAATATTTCAGTCGATCGAAATCGGGGTACGATCGGATCTAAGAATCGGGACATGCAAGAGGCGAGCGATTCGGCTAGAAGCTTTATTTTCAAAGTACAAAGTTACACGGTTTACAAAATAAAAAATTGTAATTATTCATATTAATAGTATCTCCTTGATACTTTTATATTTCAGAATGCGCATCATTTTTATGTAATATTCTACTTTTTAATAATAATTTGCTAACAAAACTAGAAAAGCTAGAAGTTGTAAATAAATAATTTGCAATTATTAATCTTCATAATCCAGTAAATTTTTGTTAAAATAAAACGCATTAAAAATCAACGAAACAGCAACAATTTATTATATGTGTTTCCACGAAGTTTAATTCATTTAAATTTTACATTTTTCGATATTACGTAGCTGCCGAGCGAAGCGAATGAAATTTTTGCTGGCTAAAAGTCGAAAAATGGATGTCTACGGGACGGACAGAAAATTTTTAATAATTTTTTAAAACGCGCTCTGTAACGCAGTACGTGACTGTTGTACGTTCGTCTGCAATTATCCGGGAAAAATCTGCATAACAATCGCTCACGGAAAGGAGAAACATGACCGCAGCCGAGTCGCTACGCCTCGTTAATAGTGAGTTTCCTATGGAATTACGTAAAATAAGCGAAAGCTTACGTAATATTAAAGGTTGTGTGGAACTGATATTAATAAAATATGAATGAAATAATCTGTATAAAGAGATGCTTGGAAATAGAGATCTGTGAAGAGAACGTGTTCGGTGCCGATATGGCGGCATGACGATGGTGATGACGGTATGACGGGTGATCATGATTTTGCGAATGGAGTAGCTTGTAGTAATAAAATAAGTTGAAATCACGAAAATATCGAAAGAGTACGGATTAAAACGTTAATCAGAGTTATGTTATGGCGGATGTCTCACGGAGGGTAAAACATGACGAGAGGGAAAGAATGACGATGCTCGAGTTTTGTGAGTTGCCGAAAAGAAAAAAAGAGAGTGAAAAAAAAATCATACGAATAAAACAAAACAAAAAAAAAAAATAAAGTGAAATAAAAATAAAATCGAGGAAGAAGGAAGAGATCTTTTCTTTCTTTTACTATTTTTCAGTATGAAACGTAAACCTCGGACGTGACAATCGTACGAAAGAGATTCTACGTTGGCATGTTCCGTTTTTGTGCGTGTAACACGTTTGTCTTGTTCGTCTCTATCGCGAAGAATATGACTACGTGACCGAATGAAAAAAATAAAATGTTCGGACGAACGTCTTCGTCTGCCATTTTCTATCACTTTTCTTTTTTTCCATTTCAATTAAATTCGCGCGTACAGCGAAATGTCTCCAGGACGTATGTGTCGCGTATCGCGCGTCCGTGGATTTCCGTGTAATGTGTTACGTAGGTGTGAGAGCGCGAGGGTGTAAATATAATAATTAATAATGTAATATAATTAATAATATAAATGTGGAGACGTACCAAACAGGGTAAAGAGAGCGTCAGGCGTGACCATCTACACAGAGAACAGACAGAGTCCAGTCAGTAGTCAGCGAGTATAATAGGATTTAAATGTATAGTGTTGATGTGCGCACAAGAATCGCGTTTTTCAAGTTTCGCGCACATAGCTACGGAAAAGAAATGCTACGTGCAAAATTGTTAGGACAAGAAGAAAAAAAAACATTTTCTTATAGGGTGCATACAGATATATGTGATTATCCATATGATTAATTTTTCAAGAAATTTCGATAGAAACGCGTGGCCTTTGTCTTTTTTTTTTTCTTTTGCAAAAATTGAAGACGGTCAAGAGTCGTCTGAGAGAGACTGCGAGGCTTGTGCGCGACACAACGATAGTAGTACATACAGTTATAGTACAGTAGTGACAAGTTGCAGCTGCGAAGTGTGACGTCGACACACAGTTTCTTGTCGAGGCGACATTTATCATCCCGTTGAAGCTTCTTACGCGATAATGTTCGTCGTTTTTGTCATCGAACGTTAACATCTAAGTTCGTATACAGGAGCTGATAGCTTGGGGCATGTATAAATGCCCGTAACAAAGCGTAGAATTGTTCAAACTAGATATTAAAATATAATATTCATTCACGGAATATTGTAAACCAAAGTATGAGAAGGTAAATCGTGATAAATGTCGCCTTGCAAGAAGTAACGTCGTTTAATCGACGACGCTACGAATTAATTAGGGCGCAGGATGGTGACACGTTGGAGTGATTTGTATGTGTTTCGAAAATGATGGGGGCAAATAGGGAACAGAATCAAAGGTTTCGTGACGAAACAGGGCACATACGCATCGCGGCTCGATTTTTCCACCTACTCGACTGGAGGATCTTGGAGAGTCGTTCCATAATCTCAAATAAATAAAAAAAGACCAAAAAAAATCAAGCATTTTTCTCTTAATTCTAAAACAATTTAACATCTTTGTCGTTCAAATTTTTGTTCTAAATTTGTCCTACATATTTACAAAAAGTATTTGTACAATTTCGTAATGTTTGTAGTAATTTTCCATCTCGGTAACAAATGTAAATACAGATTACAAGTTCTCGTAGACACATTAATGATCGATTTCGAACGTATTGTCGAGCTTGCAAAGAGCTTGCAATCTCCTGTCTTGAAGTTCGCAGTTGGCGAAATCAGGCGAAACTCAGCCCGGTGGAAAGATCGAGCCGGAAAGTCGAGAAATTGCGGGGTTCGCCTACGTAGCACTACGTTGTAACTCGCTCGTTAGGCCGTGTAATTATACGTGTATGCACGTGCGTATATACCGGATGGAGGATTGCCTGGGCTGGTTGGTCCCGCGTGTCGCACACACTGAGAGAAATAGCGTGCGGTCTCTTAGGGGTATATAACAAGGAGTACGAGAGCCCGAGAGATGGGAACGAGAAGAGAATAGAAAGGGAAAAGTGAGATGGTACAGAGAAGATAGAGAAGAGGCGGTTGCGCGTATGTGTGCGTGTGTCGCACCGGGCAAGACGATAATGTTCTCGTGACAAAGATACGGCGGACCAGAGGCTTTAATACACATACACGCGCCCATACACACGCATACACACTGCATAGAGACGACAGATGCATACAACAGATATATTATTCGCATACAACACACTTATTCGTACGTGATGGCGGCCTACTTCTCTCAGTGCTCGAGATTTACTCGAACGGCTCGCGCAACACCCCCGTTGTCGTGTGCGTGCATCATTTAACACTTCGTCTCGTTAAATATATGTACGCTGAGAGAAATGTATGGTAATTACAATTAATTTAATTAGACACATAATTTAACTAGAATTCATAGTCATTTTTAAGACCAATTATTTTTTCAAATAAAAGTAAATATGACACAACAAATTTTGATCAACTGTTTGTTTCTCAAGAAGTAATAAGTATTTCTTATATAGAGCTTTTTACATTAAAAAAGAATATCCTTTCCAAAAAAAGTTTCACCACCTCTCAAATTTTAAAAACTTCAGTCCAAATTTCTTATATATTAACGCAAATATATTCGTGTAATAAATATAATATAACTATGTTTTTTAAAATACATAAAAATAAATACAATGATATAAAGCTCCTTTTATTATTTATGTACAACTGTAAATCATATATTAAGATAGTAAAATTTATTGTAACAATATTTAAAATTAAGAATTACAAGGGTTAATTTACAAGAGTTTCTATTTATCTGAAATCACATTTAAATGATAATTTTTATGTTTTATTCTATAAGATAAAAGGAAAAGTTTAGACTGTTTTAAATGTTAGTTTATTAAGTTTTTTTTAAATAAAGTATTTGATTTCTCAGAATACATACATATGTTGGAACTTTTCTTAATCTTATATTCTTTTTCAGCAACTAAACATACATAGAAATCACCATTTAAATGTTAAAAAACAAAAACCTTGTAACATGTTATTGTTACTAATGTTATAGCAGTAATAACGGTAAAAAATTAACCATAAGTATTTGACCATGTAATTATAATCACAAATTCCAAATATTTTTCCCTCAGTGCATTGTTGTATCTAGAAATCTACACTGTATTCACTATCTCACACGCTTTTAGTCGGAACTGATTCTCTTCCAACTGAAGAGAACCCATCCAAGCCAAGACGCGATTGGTCCCGACAATTTCAAGATTTTACATGAATAAAGCGCAGATTTTTATAATACAAAATCGTCTTAGCAAATCGAAACAAAGAGTTAAACGAACACGACTCAATGGAAACGGAATCTTCCATCTCCTCTGCATTCAATGCAATTCTGGTTGATAGGAAGGTGATACACGAAGAAAATTTCCGGACGTAGAAAACGGGGAATATCTCTAGATAATTACGATAATTTGCCAGAAGATCTTTAATTGCAGTCGCGAATAAAGGTATAAACTTTCCAATTTTTTCAGACTTTCTCGAATTTTCTTCGTGTATACGACGCCAGAGTTTTATACGGCCTCTCGTTTTTGGAGAACAACGAATCGAGGAGAATGGAGTCAGGATGGAACTCGAGGTCTCGAAATACTTACCTCCTCGTTGAGATTGCTGACGAGCAGTACGGCCGATGCTTGCGCGCTTCCTTGGACCCGGACACCTAGACCAGCCGCGCCAAGAGGGAATCCGCCGAGACCGGCAAGTCCGCCGGCTGGAGGTACGCCGTTGTAAGGTCCGGCCAAGGGCGAAGCGAGACCGTGCATCGCAAAGGGCGTGGGCAGCACACCCGGTGCCCCTGCAATGGACTCTACTTCAGGAAGTTCAGACGACATTATTATCATTGTCGATATTGCAATTGAAAAAAATTAGAAAGAAAAGAAAGTATAGTCACGATAGACGAAAGACCGAGCGCGATCCTGTCTCCAGAATTTCTGGAATCGTAAAATCCCTCATAAAATCCGAGCGTAAAATGCCGCGTTTCTAATTACGATATCTCGCGATTCATCGAACGGTCATGTCCGTCGATGCTTCTCATCACGACCTCCTCGTCATGTAATTAATCGCGTTTCTTCATCGTGATTTTCGGAGACCGACCGACCGTCACGAGATCGCCTCAATCCTCAGTCATCAACGGACTGTTTGCGCAATGAGATAGGACGCAAAAGTGGATTACATTGTTACAGATTAAATACCAACAACAACGCCGTGAAATTAATTTAACCCAAACAAGCGCCGGGCCGAGCGTGTAATTTAAACTAGCCGTTGTCGCCGCGATACAAACGCAAAAATCCAGACGATTCGGCGAGCCGGATCGTCCGCCGAGTACTTTATACTAATTAATTAATTTACCCGAGGAAATAATAACGTCCGACTGGTGCACATAGCGGACAGAATGTAGTTTGAAACGCCAGCAAATTGCTTCTACCGTCGTGAGATAATAATAATAATTCAGCCCGACGTTCGAGTGACGTAAAATCGGTATCACTACTAACGTAATTAATTCCGATAAACGTAACGCCGTTAATTGCCCGATCAACCCTTCAATTATATCTTTCACAAAGCTCCGCGAGCTTTTACGTTAGCTAAATAAAAATACAAAAACGTCTCAAATTCATTCGGAATAGACGTTTTAACGACAATGAATCCCGTAAAGCTCGCCTGTCACGAGTTACTGAATACGTATTCAACTATTATCAGGTTATTATTACACGAAATCGTATAAGAGTAATGTAATTCATCGTTTATACGTTTCGTGGAATATTCAGAATTGCTTTGGTCGAATTCCGCTAGCGTTTAATAACGATGAATTTTGCAAAACAATTTTGAATGCGAACTATATAACTATATTTAATTATTATTGAGCATTACTGCACAAAATTGTCCACGATTAATGCGTTTATCGATCACATATCGCACGTGGTCTGTTCCACATTGTATAATATTAGGTGTTGGAATTAATTCGTAGCGTTTTACAAGTGATGGGAAGAAAATGGCGACTTTATTTTGTCTACATAATTGGTATTTATATTGTAGATATAATAGATTTTTACGGTTAGATAAATTATCGAATTAAATAAATATTTTATTAAGCAATTTTTATGATATAAACTTGAACATACCCAGTAATATTTTCAAAGTTGGTAATTTTGTGCATTAATGAGAATAAAATGATTGATAGTATGCAGAATAAATGTATAATGTTATAATCAAATTAACTTTTTATTGTTTTTTTATTGATTCAAGTTTCTGTATAGATAAAAAAAATAGAAAAATATATGAATTAAAAAAATGAGTTATTTTATAATAATTTCTTTATCTTTCATTAAATTATCATTAAATTAAATTTTCTTAGTACGTAGGTTGTGCGTTGCTGAATAACAAATATAAATATTATATTAATGTCTCTACTAGAAAATAAAATATAATGAAACACTCAGATCGCGCATTTTTTGTTCCATAACAACAATTAAGGATAAATTCTTGAGATAATTTCAAGAAGGAAGAAATTTACGATTTCTTGTAAATTTTATGGCTAGTAAAAAGCTGTAAAAATATCGTATAAAGGTACAAACACTTCAAAGTTTTTATAAATCTTACGAGAATATGTTACGAATCTTATAATTTTGTTTAGAATTTAGGCATAAAGCTCTTATTCTAACTATCAAAAACTATTGTAGTCTCAACATTTAATATTTAGAATTTTCATTTCAAATAAACTCACAAGATAACCCATGGAAGTATCCCTTTTCGACTTTGATGAGTTTTTATGTTGTTTTTTAAACAAAAATAAGGACACATATTTTTTATAAAATTAATCGACCAATCACAGTAGAGAATTTTACATTCTTCATTGTGATTAGCTGATTCGCTTACTGCTTAATGTCTTATTGTCTTATATTTTTGTATGTTTCTAGCTCAAATGTTGTCACGGTCTTTACGGGACGCTTACTTATCCTCATAAATAATTAAAAGCGATTCATTTGTAAGGCAAATGTGATTGAAATCGAAAATCAGGTATGAATTTGACAATACTCACCGGGTATTCTGGCACGCGGTTGAGAACCGGCACCCATCAGCAGCAATTCGCCGCCAAGAGCGAGCGATGCCGCATCCAGACTGGCGTCACCGGTCGGAAGATTCGGGTTAGTGTAATCCCGGGACTTGTCGTTATTGTATTTAACGTTCAGATTTTGCATCTTGCTGTAGTCGATGCGCAGCGTGCAGCAAGAGTTGTAGACGTTCTGCCCGTCGAGCGACTGCACAAGAAATTGTAGAATTCTTTGTGATTTGAGAAGAGATAGGAGTATGTTTAAGCTCAGAACACACGGTGACAGAATACAGAATAATACAATTACGACTCAAACATCAGTCAATTCTTTTGTATTTTAAAAAATCCAGTCGCTTTATAAATAACTTTCCGTTAGCTTAATACATTTAAAACTTCAATAAAATTGAGATATTTATAATTATCTATTATGTCATTTTTATAAAGTTATAATAGAATATCAATTACACACATAAAATTTTGATTAAAAAAATATTAAATTTTTTTAGAAAAGGATTGTTCTATTGGATATCATACTATATCGGAGCAAAATTTTTCTATTAGTTTCAAAGATAAAAGTCTCGTGAAACACACATTGCAACAAATCAAGACCAAAAAGAGAAGTTAGCTTTATAAGCGAAAAAGTTTTGAGAGATCAAAAGAAGGTGTGAACGCCGAACAAATTTAAAGAAATCCAGAAAACCGATTCTACCTTAACGACGAGATTCACGAGAAGTACATAAAAAGAACGATTTTGTTAAAATATTTAAAAATTTCGTTAAATACAAATCTAAAAGTAATTTCGTTCGACCATTATTTTTTTCAGTGTAGAAAATTGAAGCAATGCTACAAAACTTCTAGCAATCAGCTTCAACTACATAATACATTGCAAACAACTATTTTAATAGTCAATAAAATTATTTCAGAGATCTAGCCAAGAGTGCCTTTTGTTTTAGCGCCTGTAAGCATCATTTATTCTTGTTTAATATTGATAGACAACAAGGACAAATTGATGCTTACAGCACATGAGCATGAAAACGGAACGTATCCTAAATTTTCAGATGGCTCTTCGGTCGGTTGATAAAAGCGTTCTTTCCGTGTACCAGTCCGATTTCTCGTATTAGATCCGAGGTTTCCGCTAATCATCCTCCGCAATATTAATCCAAGTGCTTCTGAGACGTATCCAATGTAGGTACGTTGCGATATATCATGCACGAACGTTTCGTGCGCTCAATACGGACACAAGCGGGATCCAGGTCGCTTGTTTGAGCAATGCGCGTGGTACGCATTGCGCGCGACGAAGCCGCGCGTCCGCGTATCCCCCGGGGTATCACGCGGGTGTATACACACCCGACCGCTCCATATTTACACGGGCTAATGAATTTCGTACATAATTAGCGGGTCGGCCCGCGCCGCGAGCCTCAGGCGTGCGCGCATGGCGGTTCCTCTCTTTCTCACTCTGCTCCTCAGGCGGTTTATTCATCCGAGAGAACACTGATAATGCATAATCAAGAACGAGGCGAATCAATTTTTGCAAATACCAAACATGTTTTCCTTTGCTTCTCGAAAGAGATCCGTAATGTAAAAAGACCGTTCCGTTCAATTTCAATTAGAGAAGATACTGGAACTTCCGAGTTAAAATGTATTCTTAAATCTCGATTGTTGAATAATTATTTTTTACGCGGTGGCAAGATATTCGAAAAGTCAGGTTACACATTTATATCAAAGTCATTCCGGTGTTAAGAAAAATGATTACTTACAATTAGTTTACTTTTATCTTTTAAGTAAATCTTTTAAGTTTTAAGATACCTTTAATAAAGAATTATCTTAATCTTAGTAATAGTTTTAAAATATACTTATAAATTTTAGAGAAAAACTCATTATCATATGCTCGAAACAAGAAGTAGTTTTTTTCTTTTAAAGAACGTCATAAAACTTTATTGAAAAAACAACTTTATATAATAAGCAAATCGAATTCGTTTTAATTTAATAATCTTCATTAAAGTATTATATAAACTTACTATAGAATTCAAAATATATTTTTAATAAATTTGATGCTTATGATGAACTTATGATAAATTTGCGGATATATAAACTTTTGAAATATTTAAAACAAGTAATTAATATTTGAATACAGTATGCATCTTTCTCTGTGTATGCATAATTGAAACTAGAGAATCGATTTTATAAGTATGGAACAACAGTGTTTCCCTTAACTTTTCGAAAGATTAGTAATTAAAAAATGAACGTTTCCAATTAAACTGATCCTGAGTTGATACGTGAATCTCGTTCTTCGAGGTACATACTACATATATAATTTGAACAGATTTATTTTATGCGTTTGCGTAAAAAATTCGACAAGAATCTAACCGAAGCGACGTACAGTTGCCGTTTCGTGCTTTTGCAGCACGCGCGTGGGGCAAAAAAAAGAGGAAAGAGAAGAAAGGCGAGTAGAATGAGCGAGGAAAAGGAGAGGAAAATCGGAGAAGAGCGATATCCGCAACAAAGCTAAATTAATTTTCTGTCTTGCGCGCTACCGGGTTGGTTCGCGGTGAAACCGGTATATTTCAAGCGAATTAATTTTCCCTTTGATCATCGCACAGGTTTACTAGTTTGCGGCGTCGAGCTTATGGCACGGGTGGTGAGGCACAAAGAGGGCTAGAGGGGCTTTCGAACGGGGGTAGTGGATTCGAATGGAGTGCGGGAATGGGAAGGGACGGAAGTTTCTGGCGAGCTTCCGTTCGCGATGGCTTGTCGTTGCCGGTGTAAAACAACGCGACATATCCCGCACGCGAGTACGCCGATTAGTATATAGTTAATTTCTAACTAGGTAATTTCCAGGTGCGAATGTCATGAAATGATTGCAGCCGCACCTCGTTAAATCCTTTCGGATCTGCTTGTCCTTTCCTATCGCTATAAATGTCTTTTAGATATGTCATTTCCGTTCTATTTTAAACGAATCTTGAAATAAAGATGAAGATATCTTGGCGTATTCTGTACCAATTCTATTGAATAATTCCTGTTGAATAATGTTCATTTCTACCAATTAGAGTAACTTTAATCTTGGTTTAACTTATCTACTTTGTATCTTTTTCTAGTTCTGAGAATTAGAAAAAGTTAAAAAGCAAGTAAACTCGAGATTAAAGTTAACCTAACATTGGTAGAAGTAAGGACATAAGTGAACTTTAAATGACAATGATTGAATAACAGAGAAAATTAGTACACACATTTCGGTATTTACACCGGCGAAGTGGGTTGCGTCACATCACTTCACAAAAAGTTATCTAATATCTCAAACACTCATAAGACAGCTGGGAGAAGTCGAGTATAATCAAATCATAATATGTACAATAGATTTCAAAAACGAGGGGAAAAGAAAAATTGTTTAGATCAACAAAAAGAAAGCCAAACTTAACGTACACAGTTACGGTCAGGAGTCTGAAAAGAGTTAATTCGAGGTTCTTTTTGCTTGAGAAAGAGAGTTTATGAAATTCTCTTCGTTTTCCTAAATTGTTCAGAGTGAAACTAATTTTGCGGAGGTGTTCTACATTATGGTACAACGTGCGTTGTTAGGAAACTGTGTGATATAGACGGATTCATAGCGGAAATTAGTTGTAATATTCATAATAGACAAAGTCTCGGAACAGAAACTAACACGCACATTCTCCATTTTTTTTTATTTCCAAGCAGTGCCCGCTTCAATGCTGCAAGTCTCTCAACTTCCTCAAGAAGAGAAAGATAGTTATCGTCAGGACACGTACTTTAACTCGTGATTACAGGGACGAAACGATTACGTAGGGAATTACAGGTAAAACAAAATTTACGGCAGAGACACAACTCGTAGTACCTTAAGCAGCGGCAAGTTTAATGCTACAGCTTTCTCAACCTCCTTGAAAGAAAAGAAAAATACAAATAGTTATCATCAGAATATGGAACTTTAAATCTTGCGAGTTAAACGATTATTATAAAGTTGAAGGTCTAATATATTCCTTTTTTTTTTTTTCCGAAGAGATACAATGCTATAACCGAAGTCTACATCATTGATATTCGCGCGAACAGTACAAGGAACAGAGCGAGAACAACACGATCGATCGCGCATCTGTGGTCTGCTTCAAGAATTAATTTGGTTTGCAAAGCAGCCGATATTTCCATAAATCCGGGGAAATACCGTGTATCGGGCGTAACCGCGCGATCTTCTCGTTCCTTTCCCTCCACCCTCGACGGGATTCCTTCTTCCGCCATCAATCTTTTGATTACACATTCATCGGGCTTACTTCCGGCAATTAAGCCCCACGCTGTGGCTTTCGTCGAGATGAGCGGATCTCGGAAAATATTTTCCCAACGCGAGATATTCCGCAGAAAATTTCGATCTGTCCCGTGGGAGCTCAACGGATAAGCACCGCCGTAACGGCGGAGACGAAGAAAAAAGTAACTAAAGAGGGGCAAAAAAAAAAAAAAGAGAGAGAGAGAGAAAAGACAAGAACGAAAGAATGAAGAAAAAAGAGGAAGACAACGGGCGCACCGATGGCGGAAGGATGAAATGAAGGAAGGACGCACCAGGCGGCTAAAGTGGAAGCGAAGTCAAGTGGATACTTACGAATTTAGCGGTCTGCGCCGACAGCATGTCCGCGTACTGTATTAGTGCCTGGAAGGAGCCTGGAACACAGAAGCGATAAAAACCGTGAGACTACGTCGTCCGTTGGTGAATTTTACGAGTTTCCCGCACAAGCCGCGCTCGAGATCGCAAAAGAATGGATAGTCGCGGTGGCCGATAAATTCATCTCGAATGGTAAAACTTGAGAGCGGCATTGAGCGGGAAAATAGATCAGTAACAAGGAAAGAATGATTATGCGCTGTGGTATCTAAAAATTTAATTAAACACAGATCCACATAAATAATTTTGCTAGACTATCAAAATAATTACGTAGAACACTTAGGATGTATTGTAGGTGTTTTAAAATAAAATTTAAAAATTATGAAAAAATAAATTTTTTCTATACTTGTGTGTGAAAATAATGCAACAAATTTGAAGTAGTAATTTAGAACTTGAATAAAAAAATTATTTTAGATATTAGAAGTAGATATGTTTTTAAGAAACTTAATATAAAATAACATTTTCGTTTAAACTAAAATTATACTGCTAAACATTACATTATACATATAATATTGTTCTTATTGAACTATTTTATGTATATATTATAATATTCATTTTTATACGGAAAATTTAAATTTCCAATTCCAGTAATTTCTGCAAAAATTATGCACCTAATATATCCTTAAGTGTTGACAATGATGCAAAAATTTTAACATTCTGTGATATTCAACAAATAGTTCAAGCGTTATATCGATCCGGTCTATATAATTATTTCGATAGTTTAAATAACATTTTTGTATCTATATCTAGTTAAATTTTTATATATTTCAACACACACACACAAAACCATTTTTTCAGTGTAATAACGATTTTTATATAATAATAATGTAATTAATAATACATTTTAAGAGATGGAAACGCAAAATTTGATTACTTTTCTTATTCCGCTCCCTAATGGCGTATCGTACAATTTTGCATGATTTGCGTTACGTAAATAACGACTCCGTAAAAGTGGCCAGAGCCTTTCTCTCGTAATAGCAAACTTTCAAGGTATAAAATAAACCCGTAAAAACCAAAAAATGAAAATTACGAGATATTCTGTGAAACACGTTGGAAGTGCAAGGCGCGCAAAACGCCATCGAGAATGCAGCTCTAAATGCAAAATATGTAAACTCTTGAAAATTTGATTCGGAGGAGAAAACCGTATATTTTTTTTAGCGTTAAATACGTGTGGTATTTGAAGTACCGACTGGATCCTGGGTACAAAAAGCGGTGATTTGTTAATTTAGTGCGCGACCGCTGCGAGAAACTAACTCTGTGATAATACGTTTTTCTGATGCGGCCGGAAAGCCGGAATTGTTTCGTTAGCAGCGTTGACCAAAGTTCCAGCCGGCGGCTACGCTATTTCATTTTCAAATTTGCTCCACCGTGATAATGGAACTCTTTACAATAATACGCTAAAGCCCAAACATGTCGCGTGCGCACGCGTGTGCGCACCCACACGCACACGATTTCACGCTGATAGAAACCTTTTATTTTCCTGAATCCAGAATAATTCCGTATGTAGGATTTTATGCGAATTAAGAGAAATATTTGATTAAATTTGCTGCAGCATATATATAGCGCAATTGTACGACGTTGGAGTAAAATATTCATAAACGTTGTAAAATTAACGAGTTTGCCGATTTAGCTACGTCAGAGTTTTTTCTGAAAATTACCAATTAGATTTGGCGAGATGATTGATTGATGTATCTATTAAAAAAGTAACAACTCCCTAATTGATAATCAGTTACCGACGTTTAATTTATCATGTTCGTTTTATCACACTATAAAAAAATTCAGGTAAAATTATAATAATAATTGTAGTAGATAATTTTGGGGCTCACCGTTAAAAATGTATATTTACACATGTAAATAACAACTTACAAATAAAATTATTCTTCTTTAAAGTAATTATATAATTTGCAAAAGCAAATTTACAATCAAAGTTTAATTTGTAAAAATATTGTAATAATTCAATAACAAATTGCATTTGTATAAGTTATATGTACAAATGTAAAATTAATATTACCGTGAATGCAAATATAAGTATAATATTATCACATTACGTTACATAATATTACAAAAATTTATATATTTTGATAAAAAAATTATGAAACATATATTGTTATTGCAATTTTCCGTTTAATATAAAGATATATTTACATAATTAGAGCTGAAAGTATTAATTTTTATAAAAACGCACATATATATATATATATACATATATATATATATTAGGTGTTGGAATTAATTCGTAGCGTTTTTTAATGAAAGAATGTTCTATATACTTCCACTACATTATGTAATTTTTACACATATTATATAATTTTATATATATATTTTTTACAGTGTAAAGTGAGTGATTATGCAGATAAATACTAATATGACGAGACGCCTTTACGTGTGCTCCACACAAATCGCGTATACAGATTCGCGAGAGTAAACAGTTACGGAAGAAGGCAAACGTTAAAACGGCATCGCGCCGAGCAGACCGGATGTTTTGCGAAATTAATACAGAATATCGCTTTTCGCATCGAGTCGTATACTCGCGCGTGCGGCGGTCAGGTTTATAATTGTCATTAAATATCAATTAAATGAAACGTCGCAAGGCAATTGCAATTTCGCGAGTTTTAATCTCGCATACGTACACGTTAAACTCGTGCAACTCCGACTATGCCGTGCGCGCCCCACTTGTGATATTTCATTACGAGCGCGTATGATACGAAACAAAGGATCGGCGCCCGCGGCGATGTTATTTAATTTTTGAATCTGAATTGCGGAAGCGAAAAAAGAGAGCTCTCTTCCCCCTGGCAGTGGAGAGCCCCGATGTTACGTTAGAAAAAGAAGTATGAAGCGCGCCCCGCTTTTCATTTCATGACAATCGTAATTCCCTTTCCCCCAGACAGAATGGCTGTAGTAACGCGGGTAATCGCGATGATAACGTTTACTTTGCTTTCGCAGACGCAACCTCGTGCTTCAGTAACCGAACGTAGAAATTTTCATTGAAAAGTTTTTTTATTGCAATCTCTTATTTGAAAATTCCGAGGTTCGAGCCGTAAACCAGAATAATATAGTAAAGTGGGATAATTTACTTTTGTACCGCCGACGATTTTGCTTTTGTGCTATTTACTGTCGGAGTAATTCTGCGTTATTTAAAAGGAATAATTTAAATATCGTCTGAGATTTCCTTCGCTGCTCGTGAGTGACGTCTTTTCGTATAATTCGATAACGATTTTGCGACGCGCAAAATTATATGTATTTGCATTAATGCAAAATCCTCATGTTATTTACGAGTTTCTCGCGACGCAAAACGCACTTTTTTCAAATTTTTCGTCGGTACTACGCATTCCCTTAGTTAGTCTTAGCCGTAAATAAAATACTCTCAATTTATTAAAAAAGGATAAATTTATAGTAATGAAGATCTTATATATAAAATAAAATTCAAATATTATTATAATAATTAGGTTATATAAATCTAAAGCAATTATTGATGTTCAAATTCTTCACCTTAAAATTCTTTAATTAAAATTCGTAACAATAGTAAAAAAGGTGAACTATTAAAAAACGTATTCTTATCATATTTAATTTTTGACTCTTGTTATAATTTTAATTAAAGACAATTTTAAATTAAAAAATTTGCATATCATTGACTGTATTAAATTCATATATACTTTTTATCAATATTTGAATCTCAATTTTATTTTCTTGCCAAAAGCGATAACAACGGTAAAAAGAGTAATAAAATAATATTAAAATTGTTATAAGAAATATTATTTTTTAACTTTTTTATTTTTTGTTAAATATAGAACATCAATTTGTGCAAAAATTTCTACTTGAAATTAAACGAACGAAAGAAGAATTAGATAGAAATCAATTAGAATTCAATTAGAATTCTGGTTATCCCAACTAGAATTATAATAGATTCAACCAGAAAATTTTGATCAAGTCTCTTTTCAACTAGAATTTTCCAATTCATGCATTCTTTTTTCAGTGTGGAAGTGCTTTGTACTTATGGCCAAAGCTGTAGACGACAAACACAGACTGGGGCATTTCACAGTCGAGACCTGCTGGCGATCTCTGCTGAATTCTGGGAGGACCCCCGAAGCGTGTGTATATGTATGCAACCACGCGGAAGCTCGACATCACGACTCGCGCATCGCTTATTGCGACGCAGCAAACACCGACGCATTTGTGCACAATCGCACACCGACGCACACCGACGCACACCGACGCACACCGACGCACATGCACACACGGAATAATGATGTTCTCTCGCGCTCATCTACTGCAAACATGAATTAGTAACACGCTCGCTGGCTTCGTACCGAAGGCTCTCCTTGTACCTTTTATATAATGAGTGTACCGAGAGATTGCGCGATATTGAACTCCCTGCTAACAATTTAGATCAGGACAGAGAAAATTTTAAGACATCATTGAGACAGTTCATTAAGATTTTAAATGTGTCGTGAGGTATTTTCTCTTTTGTTACACGCCGTGCTGCACGAAAAGCTTGTATTATTTGTAAGTTAGTCATAATTCGTGATTTAAGGATGTTTTGACTGTACAGTATCAGTCAAAAGTAAACAATTTTGGTCATAAATAGCTTTAACTGCAAGAAGAAAAAAAAAAATAATTTAGCTTGTGCGTCGTATGACTATATTTTGCTGCAATTTTAAATAAAAATAACTTTTAAATAAATAACTTTTAAACAAGTTAATAAACTAGATTCAAAATAAATTTTTGACCGCGAATATTTGTTACAGTTTTAGTATTTATAAAAAAAAAATGATTTAATTCAAGCTAGTTCTTCGTCAAAAATTTGTAATAAATACTACAAAAAAAAAAACGCGATTCTATATAAGAATCAAAACAAAAAAATTAAATAACTTAAAAAAGTTAAATGACTAAAATCAATAAGATATTTCTATTCGAACTTTATATAGATATTTAGATATATTAACAGAATAAACAATAAAATTTTCATATTTTTGGTAATACTTCGAAATGTGACATGGATCCTTACACAATAAACGTTTTGTTGCCATTAAATTTTCATGCATCGTTCGCCCCGATTTCATAACATTCGCAACGATCTCGCTTCGAGATGAATTTCAGGAAGATACCCTTTGGGGTACTCGGCGCGATTGCGAAACTACTAACGGTGCCAAGTGCGTGCAACGACGCCGACAGGCCAGGACGCACTTGAAGCACATTGAAGTACTAAAGTGCCAAGTGGCCTATCTACCAACGAGAGCGGAATCTGTGCAGCGCTTGCTAAAGTGCCGCGGCTCCGCTCGTTGTTCTCCCTTTGGCACATCGATTCTAGGTCGCGAAACAATACGACGATACACATATTAAGCACGATACTTACTGTTCTTTGTGAAGGTGACGATCTTCAGGACCTTGCCATAGCGCGTGAAAATCTGCAACATACAAAATAAGCCTTGGCTGAAAAAAAATCGATTGACTTATAATCTATAAGGTATCTTACCTCAATTGATTTTTCTATAAGGGATCTCATGATTTTTATTTCTTACAAAAGAACATACTTTGTTGTCCTTCGATTTTAACAAGCTTTAGATATATTAAAAAGAGATGAGGAGAGAGAGCGAGAGAGAGAGAGAGAGATACAAATTTTTTTACAAGTGCTTTCTTAGAATGTTAAGTGAAGTGAAAATTTTCCCTTGAAAAAAATCAGTTTTTTTTTTCTTAAGTGAATATTGTTTAACTGGATATTGTAGGAGCCATGATAACTCTCTTGAGTTAAATGATATTTTATTATTTTTAACTTATGTACGTCAAAATGTAAATTAATTCATTTCTCTAATTAGTTTCAAGGTGAATAACATCCACGTTAACTGCACTTGGTAAATAATAAATTAAATTTGAGTCAAATTTAATACATTTTCTTGAGTGTTTAATTGTTTCAATTAAATTAACGATATATTCAGTAAGAGCAATAGCGACATATAGAAATGATTAAAAATAACTTAAACTCTTGAATATAATTTCACATTATAAATTTAACAGTAAACCATCAGATATAAAAAAAAATATTGTAGATAAAAGTTGAATTTTAGGATTCTCTTTATAATAATAATAATAATAATCTTTAATTTTTAATTCGTTCACTTATAGGAAGAAAAAGAAATAAAATTCTTTTTTTCAAAAGAAGATTTTATTCACTTAATATGCAGAAAAGCATTTAGAAAAAAATATGTGTCTCTTATAGTTTTGTCTATAAATTATTAAAATAGAACATTTGATTGTGTTTCCTTGTTAAATAATTTAATCAGCAAATATAATTACAAGGATGAATTAACCTGTAAAATTATAATTACATATTCGTTTACAATGATAACGAAATTCAAGGCGATGAGACCCGCAGGCGTTTCGCGAAAAATTACCTCGATTGAGCCTCATAATTAACGTCCGAGACTACAATTATCATAATCGTATAGCTGCACACAAGCTCGGGGAGGACGTGACCGATGAAAATTATGAGTTTGGCAAACCGGCGGTATTTCGCAGCGACGAAATTACAAAATAATTGGTGTGGATATTATGACAAAGCGATTTATTTCAGGGCAACGAGCTACAAAACGGGCGCGTGGATTATCAGACTTATAATGCGGCAATTATCCTCGGTAAAAGCAGCTATCGGAATCCCCGGTAAAACAGCTCGTTATATTACAGCTCGATAACCGGACGGGCGTTTCTAAAAAAATTGATTTGCGACACAACAGGCGCGGTCGCGGAATGGCGTTCTGCATAAATACCGGCGATATATTCAAAGGCCCGGGGTAACGTTCGCATGAATTTTCAAAAGCCTCTTTGGCGAGCGGCGGCAGCCACGGCGACGGGAGCAGTATCACGCAATATTTACAGGCATATACGGTGTCGAGCCGCGGGCTAATAATCGCGCACGGCTCACGTCAAACCGCCGGCCGTCATTGTCATATATTTGGTCGACAATGCCGATGATCACATTAATACCGCGAATGCAAATATTTGGCCCGGTATAACCGTTGCGTTCGCAACGGTCAACTGTGTACGGTTGGTTCTCCCGCGGCTTAGCCGTAGCATCGGAGCACCGAGGGATTAATGATTTTTTAATCTATCGGCTTTTCAACCCTGACCGATTGTAAATCATTTCTTCTTGTTAATTATAAATTCATCATATTGTTGATTATAGAAACATCATTATTTCGATCTCACGTCTATTAGTGGCTCATTAGACTGGTCTGACAAATGGCATTGATTTGAGCACGTGAAATTAACACCTTAACTTCAGTTCTCAGAGAGTTCTTGATTAGAGTTCTAGTTTCCTTTGAAGAGTAGAGAAGTTCTTTAATGTTTTTAAAAAGTTCCGGCGATTACCACTACTTAACTCGGGAATAGTCACCTGGGGTATTTTTATACCCCAGTGGTAAAAAAATGTGAATTGTGAAATATTGTATGGATATTCTTTAACATGTTTTTTTTTTACTTTCTTAATAATTATTCTTTATGAACCTTTAAATATGCAATGCTATCGAAAAGTCGCAATAAAAAAGCGTTATATTAACTATAAAATTCTTATTTGTTTTTTTTTTAAATAATGTTATAATAAGCTATTTATGTATTTCTTTCGATATCTTATTTAATTTTTATTTACTTTTTTTCAGAAAATCATAATTAAATCCACAATGTTCTCAAATACTAATAAATCGAAAAACAATCAATAATATACAGCACATTATAAATAATAATGATTTTAATTGAGATGTAAAAACATCTCATCATTTACGCAAAAAATGAATGTGATTATTTCCAGGTTAAAATAACAATTAAAAAATGAGGTGCTAACTTTACACCCGACATCACGACCGAATAATTCTGAATAGCTATTTAGTATTAATAAAACCTATATAAGTGATTTCCCACGCCGAGTTATTTTCTGACGCTCGAGATTGTCGAAAGGGCGTCCTCCGTCGAGTAAATACGTAAAAAGCTCGTAAAAGCGTGACCGCGAGGAGAAATGAAAAATTTCCAAGCGGGACACTGGAACGGACGGAGGGATGGAAGGGAAACGCTAATGCGAGCTGCGTTTTAGCTCCCAAATATTCAATATTGCACGCGACCCGCTCACCGAATGGGAAGTTTATATTTCGCCGCTAACGCGACGATAAATTCGCAAAATTGAAAATAGAGAAACGCATCGTCGGAAGAATAGGGGGAGAAAAAAAAAAACAAAACCTCAATATCGCGGAACGTCGCGCCGCGATATAAAACTGCGTATGAGGATGCATTTCTTGCAAGCTGTATTTTCTGCTCCGCGCTTTTGAGATCGCGCTTCCTTTGACCGTAGCACGCCAAGTACGATGCATAAACAAATTCGTGATCTTTACGGCTTTTGTAAAACTCTTGCATTCGAAAATTGCTTTGCAGAAATCTACGAAGGTGTTTGTTCTCGCAAAACCAATGTGATGACACTTTCTTCGACTCCACGTCACTACTTTTCTCTTCCTCCTTCTCTCTCTCTCTCTCTCTCTCTCTCTCTCTCTCTCTCTCTCTATGTTTGAAAAAATTACGTTTTAATGATTAAATCATTTGGAGAAAGAAAAATCGCATAAGAGACGTAATTTGCAGTAATGCAAACTAATTTTTAAAACTCGCTAATGAATGCGTGGATGTCTACATCGCAAAATAGCGGCGAATGCAGAGAAGTGTATTCTTTGATTAATTAATTCTCAATTTTCATATTACTGCATGGGAAATGAAAAAATTGCTGTAATAATAAATGGAATTCTGATGCTAAAAGGGAATATACGCAACGTGGAAGCGGCTCGAAAGAATGTGAAACACGCACCGCGAGCTTTACACAACGCTTCTGTAATTAGTGGAACTCCAGGGAGAAAAGATGTATGCAACCGTATTGTATCTGTGATATACGCATACACCAATTGGGACAAAGACTTTTCGTGAACGACGCGGGCAGAACTTGAACGAGACTACGGCACTACTTTTTTAAACAAGTCGACAAAGCGATGTTCTCTGGTGCGCAATGCCCACCCATGGCGAATTATATAGAGTGAATAAAAGAATTTCGAAAAATGAAATTCTTTAATCAAGCCGGATCGCCGCAAAATATCCTTACTTAAACGAATAAGGGAAAATGCAATCACATTACAATGTTCTTTAACAAATTAAAAAAAAAAAACTGTCTTGTTTTCAGAAGATTTTATGAAAACATATAATTGTTAGTAACTTTTAATTCGAGAAATTAAATAATGCACGAAGGAAGTCATGGTTGAATTCACAAGGTATAGTATAAAGTATTTAGTTCAGTGAATTTTGATAAAAGTAAATAGAATTTCTAGTTATTATAATTAAATTTTGATACGCAATCTGAACATTTAAATATGATATCGGTTAGAGTTTGATTAATGCGTGTGTAATAATAATATCCAAATTCAAAATAATATCTGGTTAAAAAAGTACTTGGTAGAACTAACAAATTTCTGCTTATCATAATTAAATAATCTATTTCAACCAAAAATCCTGTTATTTTTACTAGAATTTATGCAATCAAATGTCCGGTTATCGTAATTAAAATATACGCGACCAAATTTCTCTTATTTTATTATAACTAAGATTATGAATTGTTCATATTTCATCAAAACAATCTGTTATTACTTTAGATAATACATAATTCAACCAATTTTTTCAGTGTGTAATAGTTAAAGTACAAAATTCTATTGTACATTAAAATAAATAAGATTATGAAAATACAATGCCTTGGTAATTTCACGATCGTTTCTTTCCTTAATTTTTTCTTACCAAATTAAAGCTTACAGGCAGACAATACTTGTTTTTAGATATTGCGTAATTGGTGCGTTTCTTAACAATTTTTTTCGTCCGTTTGTACGTTGTAACAATTAACTTTTTCCGATAAAGAGCGAGAAAATTTTCCAAAGAGACTTTTAAAAATCATTTAAAATGTACAAGACTGTATTCACGGAATAGCGAAATTTTCCTAAATATAAACGTCGAGTATAATAATTAAAGCCTGCCCATTAAAGAGGCATCGATAACGATAAAAATTGGTGCATCTTCGCGAGTAGATCTCATTATCGTTACACGTTTATATTCCGCTATAAGCAATAAGAATCATTTTTACGATAATTGTGCTCGGATTCGAAATTTTCGAAATTAGCAATTACATGTAGACTCGTATGTTGCATTTTTTCACGATAAGTCTTTCTTTCTTTTTTTTGTTTCTGTAACGCGAGTATAGCGCGATAATAATACTGCACAACGTAAGTGCTTTTGACTAAAAAATAAGGTAAATGTCTCAATGACTGAATAAAAAGATAGGGATCAGTTCTGTAATATCATTGATATATTATATCATATTTATTTTATTAGTATTAATTGTATC